ATAGAAAAATTCTCTTAAACAACTTTATAATAAATAGAAAAATTCTCTTAAACAACTTTATAATAAATAGAAAAATTCTCTTAAACAACTTTATAATAAATAGAAAAATTTTCTTAAGCCACTTTATAATAAATAGAAAAATTTTCTTAAGCCACTTTATAATAAATTGAAACATTCCATTAACTTGTTTAGGGAATCCGTTATCAATTAGAAATACTTCGTATTCTTCTATTTCAAAAGCTCCTTCGTTTATAAGTTTCTTTTCATAAGATTGCCTGCTTTTACAAATAACACCGACCTTGTTAGGAGATATTAATCGGTTGATACACAAATCTTGTAAACCAAAGCATGGACCTTGCTTCTTCTTTAGAGGAAACTCGACTTAAAATGGGAATTCCTTGATTTGTTAATTAAAATATAAAACTATTTGATGTTTTGCATTTAAAATTATTATAAAAATCATTATTATTAGATAATAAAGGTGAAGTTTCATCTCCTTCGATTTTAATGCTGCGCCATTCTAATGGATTATATCCACCAATTATTTCCCCTGAATTGCGAACCTTAATAACAACAATAGTAGGTCCTTTATTGTCACATTTGTTATGAAAATTATTAATTGCAAAACCATCACGACTAGCGCGATATATAAGTTTAAACTTAAGAGGTAAATCCTTAAAATGATAAGGTTTTTGTTTCTTATTAATCCAACTTCCTATTAATGCTGCATCTTTAGCATTAATAATTTTCGAATCAAATGGATATCCTCTTAATGGTAAAATTTCAAATGAAGCTTTTGGAGTTAGGTTCCGAAAAGTGGTATAAAACTTCTTCATCAAGGCCATCTGGTAGAATACTTTTAAAGCAATTCCTGATATTAGTGTAGTCGCTAAGTGACATATTATAAAATCGAATGTGAGGAATACAATTACGCAAGGTATATTTTAGATCCATGAAATTCTCTGGTGTCCATCTAGTTGAATCATCATCTAAAAAAGAATCGGTATTTTTAATTCCCCATTTAATCAAATATTCCCAAATTTTAATTTCTTCTAATTCAAGATCATCATATTTCAAAAATTGAATAAGTTGAGTTTCTTTCATTTTCGGAAAATCTTCTGATTCAAAAACAATTTTAGGTTCCCTATCAATTAACCCTAATGCAAAATTATATAAATTGGCGAAATAATCGTTTTGCAAAGCCGTAATGATATCTTTTGGTTTCCAAGCTAATTTATTATTAAGCAAATAATTTTCAATTTGTTTATAAGCTTCAAGTAATTGAAGTTCATCGGCCGCAATGGCGATTTCTATAAGATTAACTTCATTATTTTTGATTGTAAGTATTCCTGTATAAATTTGCCTATTACAATTAAGTATATTTTTAAACGTTAGTTTTATGACAAAATTATTTTATGAATACTACAAATTAGTATTATGTACTAAAAAAAACTCACTTTATAAGAATTTCAAATACCAAGGGCGACATATTAGATTTGTTGAAAATGAAAATTCCGTCTTCTTTCTTCGCCCATCGTGAAGAGAAAGCATTTTTAAAATAAGCTGACCTAGAAGATAAGATTACCGAATGTGCTCTAAATTCTTTAATATTTGGTTCTTCACCAACTGTAATTTTTACATTATAATCTTCAGCATTTTCAAGTAAATTTTATAAATCCGTAGATAAAGAACCATTCATATTTTACGTCAAATAAAGAATAAACTGTACCTAACAAATGATGATACTATATTTAATGGCATGCATCACAATGTCACATCGGAGTGTGCGATATACTATGTTATAAATCAAAATTATATGCGGTCATTAATGGTCTAATTTTTTTAGCGTTAGCGATTATGATATATATATATATAAACTATATATATATATATAAACTATATATATATATAAACTATATATATATATATAAACAATATATATATATATAAACAATATATATACGTAAAAACTAGGTCTCACTTTTTTAGATGCGCGGTTCGCATTTTTATTTTTAGTCAAAATTCTTTAATATCGTTGTTTCCATATTACAAAGTTACGAAACTTGTTTTACATTGTTCCATTTTTTCCAGATCTTTTTTACGTGGTCATTACTTCATTTGTACGAAAAATTTTCAAGTTACTGATAATTTTTTCAAAAGAAAGACTTATTTGGCTTCGTTAAATTTAACCTTGATTTGCAAAGTTTTGGGATTAAAAATTACCGGTTTTAAGGGCTGTACATTTAATTAAATATTTTGTAATATTAAATTTTATGTGATCAATTAGGGAAGTGTCATTTATCATCTGATTTTTTTAACAGGGGGTGGGTGCCAAAATATCATGCTAATAGATCACATGTATATATGTTTATATGTAATTGTAATTATTTGAGGGAGGGGGGTTATTTTACTATTTACAAAAAATCAGATGATAAATGACACTTCCCTTAGTAACGGATATCGGTATATCGCACACCTCTATGTCATAAGTCCCAAGAACCATTTTAGGACACAATGGGATGTACATAACTGTACCAATTTGGCTTGTACTACAGTACTATTTATTTTATGTTACTTTAGGGAGCGCCACCATGATTTTCACATGACTTTTAGCAATATATACATGACGGGAATAGTAAATTTCCATGGTGGAAATAGGCGTTTCCTTACTTTATATGTAAAAAGTTTACATAAACTTGAAGGAATTTCAAAATAAAATAATATTTTGATTCAATCTCGTATAAATTGGAATTGAAGTTAACCGTTTGAATGAAGAAGTGAATCGCTTGAATGAAGAAATCAACCACCTTAACCAATTGCTTCTTATTATTCGAAATTTAAAAAAATTTTTTTGATTTTACGTATAACAGTTTGGTTAATTTTTATAAAACTTCTTTGTATTAGTTATTTATTATGTTTTTGAAGGTTGATTTTTTTTAAAGATAAAATTTATAATTTATTGCGGTTTGCAAAATTGTGTAATCTCTATAATTAATTTTTTTTATGATTAAATGATTGTGATTGCTAAAGCCGGGCAAATTTATCATAAACCTTAACTTGACACAAACTCAGATTCATGATAAATTGGCTGGCTTTAGCAATCACAATCATTTATTAAATTTTGTTTCTTTTTTAACCCGATAAATTTTCTATTGTATAATGAGCAAGAAGAATTTAAAAGTTGCACCAAATTCAATTTATAAAAATTATTACATATGATTCTAGAAAATTAATTTGTTTATTACTAAAAGAATCATGAAATTTCAAAGTAAACCATAATTTTTTTCGTTGGAAATATATTTTTTCACAGTTATAATACTGCTATAAGTTTTAGAAATTGTACAAAAAAGACACTTCTGTGCATCCAAAGCATGTTTCGAGTAATAATTTTGTCTATTAAAAAGATTTTTTTTTGTTTTTTCAAAATATATACTAAATAAATACATTTGTAAAATTTAACTAAATTTTTTTTTCCAAATTTAAGTTTTGGGGACAAAATTTATTATCGATTTTTTAATATGGAACCCCAGAAAAATTATTGGGCACTCCGATCTATAACAATGCATTTTCCCCATAGGCTAACTCATTTCCCCACTCTTTGACACATTTCATTAGACATAAATTTATTATAATGACACACCTTAACCTGGAAAGCATTGACTATCTTAGCCAAAATCACTATTTATGTATTAGCAGTCATATTTTTCAAAATTTGGGGTATTTTACAAATGTGCCGTAATATATATATATGTATAAGTCTTTATATTGTAATATTATATACATACGTCATCAGAAGTAATGTTAATTTGTTTCACATAATTTTGCAAACTGCAGGTTATTTGATTATTTTTTAAAGTTTTTATCATATTTTACAAAGTAAGCTTTTTTTTTGGAAAAATTAGATTATTAAAATTATGTAATTGAAGATAATGTTGGATATGAACAAATAATAAAGAGACGACTAGCTCTTAGGACCCGGTCATTGCCCGGGTTCGAGTTTCTAATTTTTTGCTAATTCTTAAGCTTTTATGTTTTT